GAGATAATTAACCAAGAGTTCCAGAGCATCACGGACACCACCAAGAAAGTCAATCCTGAGAAAAAGTTATTGAAGCCCTAGATGCGTTTTGCACCCCTCATGGTGCTTTCTCCACTTTCTCTAATAGGGAAGAACATATAGATTGTGCCTTGGTTGGCACCAGTCTCTCTTGCCTTGTTCTGTTACATGGCTTTGCAGGCACAGTAATAACATAGAAACAGATATGTCACATGCATTATCAGTTTAGTTCAGTTAGGTTCACAAAAGACAGAGAACAGAACAGTCATGAAATGCTCACTTTATTACACCACAGAGATTGGGTAAAACACAGCTTCAATTGGTGTCAATTTACCATGCATAGGCTAATATATCTATAGAGATAAAACATTCAAAATAAGTATTTGGGGGAAAAAAAGAGGAATATGTGGAAACGTAGACATATTCGAAATTTTACAGACTCTAGATATATCCTTGTTTGTTCAATTTTTTGGTTGTGTTGTTTCAGTCTTGATGTATTTCTTATAGTATATTCCACTATTTATCTCAATAAATATAGATTAACCCCTTAAGGACACATGACATGTCTGACATGTCATGCTTCTCTTTTATTCTAGAAGTTTGGTCCTTAAGGTGTTAAAAAAGAAACCAAGGATAACAATGATTAGCAATATGTTCCAGCAAAGTTTTGGGTGGTCACCATGACCACGTCTGCTGTACGTTAAAGGACCACTATAGGCACCCAGACCACTTCAGCTTAATGAAGTGGTCTGGGTGCCAGGTCCCTCTAGGTTTAACCATTTTTGCTGTAAACATAGCAGTTTCAGAGAAACTGCTGTTTACAAATGGGTTAATCCAGCCTTTAGTGGCTGTCTCATTGACAGCCGCTAGAGGCGCTTCCGCGCTTCTCACTGTGATTTTCACAGTGAGAAGACGCCAGCGTCCATAGGAAAGCATGGAAAAAGCTTTCCTATGAGACTAGCTGAATGCGCGCGTGGCTCTTGCCGCGCATGCGCTTTCAGCCAGTGACGTCAGAAGAGGGAGGACAGTCCCGTGCTGAGGGAGCCCAGCGTTGGAGAAAAGGTAACTCATTCCTCGTGCCCCCACCCTCAGGGTCCCCCTCCCGCCGGGCTGGATGGTGAGGAAAAATTAACTCATTCCTCCCCCTTCAGCGCCACAGGAGTGGGACCCTGAGGGTGGGGGCACCCTCGGGGCACTATAGTGCCAGGAAAACGAGTTTGTTTTTCTGGCACTATAGTGGTTCTTTAAGGACCAGAGCTGTTTTAACACTTTTATGATGTTTGTGTTTAGTTGTAATTTTCCTCTCTCTCATTTACTGTTCCCATACAAGTTATATATTTTCAGGACAAAAGGGGCTTTCTTTACATACCATTATTTGTATCATGTCACATAATTTACTTTAAAAAAAATGGTGAACATGTTTTTTGACTTTTACTTTACAAATCTTTTACTTATCTACAAAAGCTAATGAAAACAACTGTTAAATAGATTAAAAGTGTTGTTCTGAGTTTAAAAACACCAAGTGTTTACATGCTTTTTTGCAAGTTATAGGGCTATAAGTACAAGTAGGATATTGCGGTTTCAAAATATATATTTTTAAAATGTATCATTAGTGACATTGTAACACTGTAATCTGTCATGAATCTCTGAATCACACCTCACATGTACATATTTTTTCAAAGTAGACAACCCAGGGTATTCAATATGGGGTATGTTCAGTCTTTTTTGGTGGCCACTTAGTCACAAACACTGGCCAAAGTTAGCATTTATATTTGTTTGTGTGTTAAAAATGCAAAAACTATTATGAACACTAACTTTGGCCAGTGTTTGTGACTAAGTGGCTACTAAAAATGACTAACCATACCCCATTTGCAATACCTTGGGTTGTCTTCTTTTGCAAATGGTATGCCATCATGGGGGTAATTATCATTCCTGGGCCACCATACGCTCTCAAAGGCAACAAAACCAACCTGGCAATATTCAATGTAAAAAAATGTGACCCTTATATTTGACCCTATAACTTTCAAAAACACTATAAAACCTGTACATGGGGGGTACTGTTTTACTCTGGAGACTTCACTGAACACAAGTATTAGTGTTTCAAAACAGTAAATGAGACATATCACAACAATGATATCATCAGTGAAAGTGCTGTTTGTGTGTGAAAAATGCAAAAAAAGTAACTTTCACTGACAATATCATCACTGTGATAAGTGTTACTGTTTTGAAACACTAATATCTGTGTTCACCGAAGTCTCCAGAGTAAAACAGTACCCTCATGTACAGGTTTTAGGGTGTCATAGAACGTTACAGGGTTAAATACAGTGCTAGCAAATTACATTCTCTGGACTTTCGGCCTGGGTTGTCAGGCAGGTCCCTCAAATTGCAATCAATAAAATTACTTAATTATGTAAAAATATCACATGAATATGCACATAGAATTTAAATATGTATACATATTATACTGTTATATTATTGAAGTCTACGTGTTTATTTATGAAATTATTTATGTAATTTTGTATATGGATAAATATTTCGTATAATTTTTATTTATTTTTAATTTCATTTTAAGTGTCTTTTGATATATGTATTAATAGCAAAATACAGTTAGAATAAAATGACATACCATATATATATATATATATATATATATTTTGTAAATAATTTTTACATGTTTTATTTATTATTTACTTATTATTAGTATTTTATAATATATATATATATATATAGTTATATATACACACACACACACACACACGTGTGTAATTGAATTATAAGTATTTTTATATTAATATATTCATATATTAATATAAAAATACACTTAGTATGACATTATAGATATAAGATATAGACATATATTATATAGATAAAATATATATATATATATATATATCATATATCTTATATACACACACACACACACACACACACACACATCTAATTATATTTTTATTTATTAACCATTTTTTTTTAATTTTACACATGCAGGCAGATACACAGGCCCCTATTGCGGCCATGTGACCAGCGGGGGAACAGCGGCGATCGAATAAGTAAATATTACCGTTATGACGGTTCAGGGTCCTCAGGGGTATTTTTCCGATGATGGTCCTGAACCGTCAGCGATCGTTAAGGGTTTAAAAGCTCTTTTCTTTCAGCAATTTAGTAGAAAACTTCCTTGATTTTATATCATTACTTGGAATTGTCATATTTACGGATACGAAATCAGAAAGAGATCAAAATGAAAAAAAGGGCTTTTCTTAAAAGGACACTATAGTCACCAAAACAACATTGGCTTAATAAAACAATTTTTGTGTATAGATAATGCCTCTCACTTTTCACTGATCAATTCTCAGCCGTTTAGGAGTTAAATCACTTTTGTTTCTGTTTATGCAGCCCTAACCACACCTCCCCCGGTTGCGACCTACACAGCCTGAAAAAAAGAAAAAAGTGGTTTCACTTTCAATCAGATGTAACTTGCCTTAAAGGACCACTCTAGGCACCCAGACCACTTCAGCTTAATGAAGTGGTCTGGGTGCCAGGTCCTTCTAGGGTTAACCCATTCTTTTATAAACATAGCAGTTTCAGAGAAACTGCTATGTTTATGAATGGGTTAAGCCTTCCCCCAAAGCCTCTAGTGGCTGTCTCATTTACAGCCGCTAGAGGCGCTTGCGTGATTCTCACTGTGAAAATCACAGTGAGAACACGCAAGCGTCCATAGGAAAGCATTGATAATGCTTTCCTATGCGACCGGCTGAATGCGCGCACAGCTCTTGCCGCGCGTGCGCATTCAGCTGACAGGGAGGAGAGGAGGAGGATCGGAGGAGGAGAGCTCCCTGCCCAGCGCTAGAAAAAGGTAAGTTTTTACCCCTTTCCCCCTTCCAGAGCCGGACGGGAGGGGGTCCCTGAGGGTGGGGGCACCCTCAGGGCACTATAGTGCCAGAAAAACGAGTATGTTTTCCTGGCACTATAGTGGTCCTTTAACAGTTTTTATCTCCTGCTCTGGAAATTAAACTTTAATTACATACAGGAAGCTCCTCTAGGGTCTACTAAGCTATTAAAGGACCACTCTAGGCACCCAGACCACTTCAGCTTAATGAAGTGGTCTGGGTGCCAGGTCCCTCTAGGATTAACCCCTTTTTTTTATAAACATAGCAATTTCAGAGAAACTGCTATGTTTATAAATGGGTTAATCCAGCCTCCAAATCCTCTAGTGGCTGTCACATTGACAGCCGCTAGAGGCGCTTGCGTGCTTCTCACTGTGAAAATCACAGTGAGAACACGCAAGTATCCATAGAAAGCATTGTAAATGCTTTCCTATAAGACCGGCTGAATGCGTGCGCAGCTCCTGCCGCGCATGCGCATTCAGCCGAAGAGGAGGATCGGAGAGGAGGAGGAGAGCTCCCCGCCCGGCGCTGGAATAAAGGTAAGTTTAACCCCTTTCCTCACCATCCAGCCCGGCGGGAGGGGGACCCTGAGGGTGGGGGCACGAGTATGTTTTCCTGGCACTATAGTGGTCCTTTAACCCCTTAAGGACAGAGCCAAATGTACACGTTGTGAACAAAACAAAATGTAAACAAAACCTGGCATTTGCGCTACAGGTCTGTTCAACCGTAATTCAACTCTTTCATAAAATGCACCCACACTTATTATATATCATTTTATTCAGGGGAAACAGGGCTTTCATTTCATATCAAATATTTATATATGAAACATAATTTATTATGAATAAAATTAAAAAAACTGAGAAATTTTAAATTTGTTTTAAAATTTGTAGTTCCGCCTCACATTTTAGCTGTAAATGTCATAATACTGTTAGATTTTACTGCAAAACAATGCACATATTTGTAATCAGCGATGTCTCACGAGTACAACAGTACGCCCCATTACCAGGAGAACGTTCCATTTTCACATTGAAATTTGCCAGATTAGTAATGTTACCTTTGAGACGGTGTGGTAGCCCAGGAATGAGAATTACCCCCATAATGGCAGACCATTTGAAAAAGAAGACAACCCAAGATATTGAACGTGGCATATGTTTAGTCTTTTTTAGTAGCCACATAGTCACAAACATTGGCCAAAGTTAGCGTTCATATTTGTTTTTTTGTGATAAAAATAAAAAAACTAATATTTGGCCAGTGTTTGTGACTAAGTGGCTACTAAAAATGAGTGGATATACCCCGTTTGCAATACCTTGGGTTGTCTACTTTTGCAAATGGTATGCCATCATGGGAGTAATTCTTATTCCTGGGCTACTATACGGTCTCAAAGGCAACATAACCAACCTGGCGAATTTCAATGTCAACAAAATGAAATGCAAGCCTTATATGTGACTCTCTAACTTTCCAAAACACCATAAAACCTGTACATGGGGGGTACTGTTATTCTCGGGAGACTTCACTAAACACAAATATTAGTGTTTTAAAACAGTAAAACATATTACAACAATAATATAGTCCATAAACATGACGTTCATTTGTAAAAAAAAATGCAAAAAATGTCACTTTTACTTAAAATATCATTGTTGTAATACAATTTACCAGTTTGAAACACTAATATTTGAGTTCAGCGAAGTCTCCCGAGTAAAAGAGTACCCCCTATGTACAGGTTTTATGGAGTCTTGGAGAGTTACAGGGTCAAATATAGTGCTTGCAAATTAAATTCTCTGCACTTTCTCCCTGTGTTGTCAGGCATGTCAATCAAATTTTAATTAATCAAATAATTATGTTAAAAGATTACTTAAATACACATGTAGAATTTTAATATATATGCATTTATAGGTATTTAAATTCTACGTGTATACTAATGTAATCTTTTATGTAATTATATGTATTTATCTATATATATTTATTTGCGGTTATTTGTATTTTATATATAGATAGATATATATAGAATGTCATTCTAAGTGTATTTTGTTACCTATATATATTAATAACAAAATACAGTTAGAATGAAATTACATATGAATATATAATTTATATTAAATTTTGTTTCAATATTTTATTTATTTTATTATTTCATTTATTTATTATTGTAATTATACGTATATATATATATAGACATATATATAATATATACATATTATATATATGTAACGTCATTCTAAGTGTATTTTAATATTAATATATACTTATATTAATATTAAAATACATTACGTATGACGTTATATGTATATAATATGTATATATATTATATATATAATATATACACATATATTATATATATAATATATACACATATATTATATATATATAAAAATATATTACATTTATTTTAACATGTTTATTTTTATTTTTTTTTACACTTTCCACCAGCAGGGGGACTGTCTGATATTTCAGACAGCCCCCCTGCTGGCAGATCCACAGCCAGCAAAAGGGGGCCATGTGATCGCTCTTTGAGAGCGATCACATGGCCCCCGGAGGCCTCATTCGCCGGATGAGGGCTGCCTGGGCGGTCTGGCAGCCCTCCAGAAGAGGATCGCGGCGGAGGTGAGTACCGCCGGTCCTCTGGGGCTCAAAGCCGTTACGGCGTTCTATGCCGCCGCAATGGCTTTAAAGCCCATTAAAGCCGCAACGGCATAGAACGCCATAGCAGCGAGAAGGGGTTAACAAAGCAGGAGATAAAGAATTCTCAATTAAACAGAATTTGCAATAAAAGGAACACTATTATTTGCAATAATGTAAACATTAGATGACTCTTTACAGGAAGTGTTTAGGAAGGCTATGTAAGTCACATGGAGAAAGGTGTGGCTAGGGCTGCATAAACAAAGTGATTTAACTCCTAAATGGCAGATAATTGAGCAGTGAGACTGCAAGGACATGATCTATACACCAAAACGGCTTGTTTTTGTGACTATAGTGTCCCTTTAATTTTGATATTTCATCAGTCTAGCAGATAACTCCCTAAACTGGTACTTTCCATAGTACCTTTGTGACTGACACCATCATATTTCATTATTGCGGCAAAATGGGCTTCCGCAATTAGACAATTAACAAATTTCAGAATCGAAATTTGAACATTAAAAATTTCCGAACTAAAAATAACTAAACAATTCACACAAAGCAAAAAATAAATTCCCCCGTGCACATCAGTCAGCATGTCTTGTGCGTTACAGATTTTCGTTAAGGGCTTTTAAGATGATAAGGGGGATGGGAGGCAGGAAATTCTCTTTTTCATTAGTGATCGGTAATTCATTTGTTAGTGAAATGTTGCATCAAAAGGAAATTCTTATTGCCTGTTCATACAAGGTCACATTTCCACATTATATCTACAAGACATTTCTATCCTCAATATCTTTGAAACTAGTACATTGTTATAAATAATTTATCACTGAACATTTGGCACCAGTGCATAATTTTAACATTTCTTTAATATTAAATTTTGTGCGGTTAGCATTTTCATCTGCAGCACACAACCCAATAGGTTTCCATGTATCTACATCAAATCCCAGTCCTTCTAGACTAAATGTCTCTTTCCCTTTCCTAGTTACAGCATGCATTGTGATATTTTTTGAATTATTTAATAGTTTAAACATTTATGTTATGGCTAATTGTAGTTAAACACACGCTTCAATAACAGACAATTATATCTGTAAATGTTTGCTTCAATGAAATGCGTTATATGCCAGAAATTCCCAGGGTACACCTGGGGGTAAATGTCTCAAATCCCAGTATTTAAAAAAAAAAAAAAAAAGAAGACAATTAGAACTAAAAAAAAAAAAATGCTATTGCTAACTAAATTTCTCGTTAAAGAATATATGCCACTTTTCTAAAAATCACCTATATATTATGTTCCTATTAGGCATGTGCTGCACAATTCATTAGCGTGTGCACCTAGGAATAGTTATTAAAATATTTTGGGTAGGTGTGGTAGGTTGGCTGTTTTTTTTATATGTCTGTGTGTGTGGCTGTGAGAGTATACGTGAGTGATATGTTTGTGGCTTTTAGTGTAGCAGTGCGTGATGTGTGTGTGTACTTGCGAGTGAATAGTATTGCTGTGTGTTAAATGTTTTGCAGTGTGTGTACTTGTGAGTGAATAGTATTGCTGTGTGTTAAGTGTTTTGCTGTGAGTAAGTGGTGAAGCTGGGATGGGAGTGATGATTATAGAGAGAGAAAGGGAGCAGTGGGAGTGATAGGATGGGGGTGGAAGGGATGGTTGGGAATGATAGGAGGTTGCGGAGAAGAAGTTGTAGCGATAACATGTTGAGGAGGGTAAGAGTGACTAGAGGATAGAGAGAGGGATGTGTCAGAATGATAGGAGTATGGAAGGGAGAGATGGTTGGGAGTGATAGGAGGATTAAACAAGAGAGGTATAGGTTTGGAGTGGTAGGAGTATGCAGCGAGAGGAAGAGATAGGTAGAAGTGATATGAGTATGGGGTGAAAGGGAGAGATAGCTAGGTGGCAGTGATAGGAGAATGGGATGAAAGGAAGGGATGGGTGGGTGGCAGTGATAGGGGAATGGGATGAGAGGAAGGAATGGGTGGGTGGCAGTGATAGGAGAATGGGATGAAAGGAAGGCATGGGTGGGTGGCAGTGATAGGTAAATGGGGTGAAAGGAAGGGATGGGTGGGTGGCAGTGATAAGAGAATGGGGGTGAAAGGAAGGGATGGGTGGGTGGCAGTGATAAGAGAATGGGGTGAAAAGAAGGGGTGGGTGGCAGTGATAGGAGAATGGGGTGAAAGGAAGGGATGGGTGGGTGGCAGTGGTAGGTGAATGGGGTGAAAGAAAGGAAGGGATGGGGGCGGATGGCAGGGATAGGAGAATGGGGTGAAAGGAAGGGATGGGTGGGTGGCAGTGATAGGAGAATGGGGTGAAAGGAAGGGATGGGTGGGTGGCAGTGATAGGAGAATGGGGGTGAAAGGAAGGGATGGGTGGGTGGCAGTGATAGGAGAATGGGGTGGAAGGAAGGGATGGGTGGGGGGCAGTGATAGGAGAATGGGGGTGAAAGGAAGGGATGGGTGGGTGGCAGTGATAGGAGAATGGGGGTGAAAGGAAGGGATGGGTGGGTGGCAGTGGTAGGAGAATGGGGTGAAAGGAAGGGATGGGTGGGTGGCAGTGGTAGGAGAATGGGGTGGGTGGGTGGCAGTGATAAGAGAATAGGGTGAAAGGAACTGGGGTTCCAAAGATGTTAATTTCACTCTCTTGCCGGCCGGATAAAAGGGTGAATTGGGACCACTTCATGCTGGAATGACACTGGATTCTAGCCGCGTGCGTTCCACTGCAGCTCTGGATGCGTTCCAATATGCTCACTCTCAGGAACCGGTGTGAAACGATGTAAAGATGCCGCCTAAAGGTAAAGATGCCATCCTGAGCCTCAGTGGAACGCACGCGGCTAGAATCCAGTGTCATTCCAGCATGAGGTGGTCCCAATTCACCTCTATCCGGCCGGCAAGAGAGTGAAATTAACATCTTTGGACCCCCAGTCTGCTATACCTGGTATTATTGCTACTCTTATTTGGGAATGT